AGGTGTTTCTTGACTTCCTACTTTTGCATTCCAGTCCCCTATAATGAGAAGGACATCTTTTTTGGGTGTTAGTTCTAAAAGGTCTTGTAGGTCTTCATAGAACCGTTCAACTTCAGCTTCTTCAGGGTTACTGCCTTGGATTACCGTGATATTGAATGGTTTGCCTTGGAAACGAACAGAGATCATTCTGTCATTTTTGAGATTGCATCCGAGTACTGCATTTCAGACTTTTGTTGACCATGATGGCTACTCCATTTCTTCTAAGGGATTTGTGCCCACAGTAGTAAATATAATGGTCATCTGAGTTAAATTCACCCATTCCAGTCCATTTTAGTTCGCTGATTGCTAGAATGTCAATGTTCACTCTTGCCATCTCCTGTTTGACCACTTCCTTTTGTTTTTGTTTGTTTGACTACTTCCAATTTGCCTTGATTCATGGACCTAACATTCCAGGATCCTATGCAATATTGCTCTTTACAGCATCGAACCTTGCTTCTATCACCAGTTACATCCACAATTGGATATTGTTTTTGCTTTGGCTCCATCCCTTCATTCTTTCTGGAGTTATTTCTCCATTGATCTCCAGTAGCATATTGGGCACCTACCGACCTGGGGAGTTCCTCTTTCAATATCCTGTCATTTTGCCTTTTCAATGAACAGTATGAAAAGACAAAATCTTGACATTAAGACCTTGCTACTCAGTGTGATCCATTGACCAGCAGAATTAGCATCATTTGGGTGCCTGTTAGAAATGTGAACTTTCAAGCCAACCCTAGACTAAGTGGTTGGTGTACAAAATAAAGTTTAAGAGGCACTGATCTGATAAGAGACTATCTCTCCATTGAAGCAGCATACTCTTAGGTCTGCTTTTGGCTAATCACCTCATCTGAGACATTAGCTTACCAGTTCCACTTTCTCATTCCATGGCTGACTATTTCCATCTCCTTTAGCTCCTATCTGCACTGTGAATGGGCCACCATCTCCCAACTGGAGAAGGATAAGAGGATCCATCAAAAACTAAAGCGCTTCAAAACCAAAATGGCTCAGATGAGACACTTCTTCCATGAGGTAATTAGGAATAGGTATTGCTTATCATTTATTTCATAGAAGCATAAATTTCTAGGGTTATCCCTAACAGATTGTTCAAAAGACTTATAGTTGCTTTATATATATGGGTATATAAGTTTCAGTTCGATCATTGGACTCTCCTCATTTAATTGCCCAATGGTTTGTTTTACCAGGTCTAAATATGGTCTTTTTATAAGTTATAGAATGTTTTGAAATTGAGTTGTTTGATATTCATGAAGTATTTTCAAAACAGATGATAAACTATCTGTCCACTTCCGGCATTCTTCTCCCTTTATTGTCAGTCTTTAGCAACTGCTGGTATCTGTAGACATAAGCAACCATATCATTAAGAGGGAACATTTACTTTCTCAAATTTCTAATCCAGTATAACTAGAAATAGTGATAAAGGAACTTTAATATCTTACATCCAATGTTACTACTAATTAAGTACTGGAGCATCTGTGAGAATCTCTTGAGCTGTATTTTAACACTCCATTTTTTGAAAACATTTTGCACATACATCTTTTCCAAAATGGGAGCTTTAAAATCCGTATTTAATATATAATACTAAGTGCCTTGAGAAAAAGAATTCTTTTTCAAAGTTTCTTAAGACCTGTGGAGGAAGAGATCTAATAAGAAGACTGAAAGAGAAGGAATAATGTATAGCTTTAGGAAAAAAAGGCCAGTTGTAGCCAAATACATCTGATGAAGCTAACTTTATATCACCAGACTTGTCAATAAGTGAGTTATTTTCCACATCACTTGGAGAGCAAGCAGGACCATGTAGGTTTTATAATTTCTTTTTATATGAAAATAAAATAATGATTGGGTTGTGGAGGTTTTTTTTTTTCTTTTTTTTGCCTATGTTCTTTTAAAGCCTGATTTGTGAAATGTACAATGAAACTGTAATCCCATTTCAGCTGATACTAGATATATAATTTGTGGCCATTGAGCTAAGCTCTGCTAACTGACTTGTGTGCCAGTTAGATTTGCCTTTATAGGTAGGTCATTTAGCCAAATCAATCACTCATTTATTCATTGTTTATGTGCTAGTCACTGTGGTTAACAGATCACACATGGTCTGTGTTCTCATATAGCTCACTGTCTAATGGGGGAGGAGAGAGAGATTTTAAAATAATTCAAATTGTGATAGATACCAGAAAAGAAGGAGCATAGGAAGACATTAAAAAATACCTGCTTTGGATGATCAGGGAAGGCTTCACTGAGAATTGAATTATGAATAGAAGTTAGCAAGGCCATAAGCACCTGTAAATAGTACCCCTGGCATGGGAAGTAGCAACATATGAAGGCTCTGAGATAGGATGAGGAACTGAAAGCACGGTGGTATTTATATATGATAGAAGCAGGTGCTTACAGACCTTTTAGTTTTGTTTTTATTCTAAGTGCAAAAGGGGAAACCATTGGACTATTTAAAACAGGCCAAAGACATAAACCAGTTTTCACCTTTAAAAGATCATCTAGACTTTGGAGAATGGATGGGAGAAGAGTAAGCATGAAAGTAGGATGAGCTGTAAGGAGGCCATTGAAGTTTTCTAGATGAGAAATTATCACAGCTTTATAGCAGAGTGCTTTCAGTTGTTGGAGAGAAGGGACAAATTTGAGTTTACTTTAAAGTAGTATTGACGGCAATTGGTATGATGGCTTACATAGACAGGTATTAAAGAATGGAAGATCTTAGAAGCAACTGATTTGGGGAAAATCAAGATTTTAGTTTAGACCATGTTAAGTTTAAAATTGCATAACATGTCTAGCAAGAAGATAGATATACAAAACTCGATTTTTTAGGCTACAATTAAAATTTGGAATGTATCGGCATATACATTGTTATTAAAGTCTTAATAACTATGCCAGAGTGATAGGAGAAATATTAGGGAAAAGATAGGCCACAAAAATCAGTGGGAAAGTGCCATAAGAAGGAAGAATTTTTTTCCCTATGGTTTCTTTGAGATCTCTTTTTGGAGCCTTGGGTTATTTTATCTTGGGATATCACCCAAAGTTAGATACCAGTGACTTAGGGAAAAAAGAGCCAGTGAAGGTGACTGAGAATTGACCAAAACACAAAGTGAAACCAAAATAAGGCTATAAAAGTGAATATGGTGTCTCAGAAAAGCCTCGATAGTGCTTTGGAGAGAAAGATCAATTGTTGAATACTTTGTAGCTGTAAATTAAGGTGAGTACAGAAATGTTTCCATTGTATTTGGCAATTTGGAGATCATGAATGATGTTGACGAGTGGTTTCATTATGTGATGGAAGTAGAAAGAACAGTGGAATGGATGGACAAATAAAGAAGTGATGAAATGGAGGTACTGTGTGTTTAAAACTCTTGGGAAAGCTTACATGTGAAGCAGAACAGAAGAATAGTTGCAGGGGGATGTAGAGTCAGAGAGGTCTTTTTAAGATGTGAACTAGTAGAACATGTGTGTTTATTATGGCAATGTTACACTGGAGAGGGATTCCTAAGAAGGTAGGAAGGAATGAAATCCAAAGCATATATGGAGAGAATAGCCACTGATAGGAGTAGTGACACTTGATCTGGTAATATGAGAAGATAGGTGCAAACAAGGTAAGTGTGTAGGATTTGATAGGATGAAAATGGGGAACTCCCTTTTTTTCTTAATAAATTTTGAAGTAAGGATATCCACTAAAGGTTGGGTGGAAGGGTGAATTTCCTAGACAGTGATCTCTTTGGTTTTATTGTTTGGTTTCATAATTCCTCTAGGATGAAGAGCCCTTCAACCCAGACTATGTAGAGGTGGATAGGATATTGGATGAGTCTCACAGTATTGACAAGGACAATGGGGAGGTGAGTTGGGTCGTGGAGGAACGTGAGAGGCCTTAAAGATCTCTGCCTGTCTGCTTGCCCACCCTTTATTTTTCAGATTTGGCTGAAAAATCTCTTGGATTGAAAAGGTACTTTTGAATTTTTTCTGAGAGATCCTCAGAATGATATTGGGAAGGTAGAGGAGTACAGAGAGGCTAAAGAGAAAGATTCTCTTGAAGTCAGATATCTGGAAGCTGTATTTGCAAGGACTCATTCACCTTGGTCTCATTTTCTCTCAGATTTTATATGAGAGACCCTTGACATTTGGTTGAGGGTGAAAGGTGGGGATAGAGAAAGGAATCCTTTATCAATTTCCAAATATATGAATATAAAAACCCTTGCATAGACTCGTAGCTTTCTCTTGTGTTGTTGAGAATTTTTTATTTCCTGAACTGGGGCTTCCCCAGTGGCTCAGTGGTAAAGAATCTGCCTGTTGTGCCGAAGCCACACGAGACACGGGTTCTTCCCCTGGGTCTGGAAGATCCCCTTGAGGAGGAAATGGCAATCCACTCCAGTATTCTTGCCTGGGAAATCCAATGGACAGAGGATCCTGGCGGGCTACAGTCCATAAGGTCGCAAAGAGTTAGACATGACTGAAGCGACTGAGCACACATGCACAGCATCATTTAAATGCATTTTCATTTGTCACTAAAACATATACTACAGTTGAATCAGTCCTTTTAAACAAACTGTGGGGTCTTGCTACCACAAGTGCAGATTTAGTACATCTAGGGTAGGACCGAGAGATCTGTGCTTTTAAGTTGGTTCTTTAAGGGGTTCTCATGCATAGCTTGGTTTAGGAACCCCAAAACTAAAGCTTTCTTAGATTGGGTAGCAGATTTTACATATGTTAAAACATTTGGTGACATGTTTTCTTTCATTAATCACTTTTTTTCATTTTCCAACCAAGAGTTTTGTAGATCTAAGCCACCAGTGAATTCAGCATTGCTCTCTTTTATTCAGATTTGCTTGGACCATGAACTAAGCACTTTGTTAGAACCCTTCTCGCTTCTAGTCTAAGTTGTTGGTTTAACATCATAGGGTCACATTTCATCAAAATTTTATCACTCAAATAGTTCCTGTTTACAGAGTGACTAGTAGGGAACAGCAGAGCCTTGTTAAGACATCAGTGCTAGCTGGCAGACTGGGTTCACTCACAAACTAAGTGACTTGCTCCCATATGTCATCCTTGTAGAACCTAAGAGTCAAAGTCTTCCATCTGTTAAAGCCCAAGTTTGTTTTATAAGCTTTCAAGGTTACTCAGATAGAACCTTAGCTATCCAAAGTCATTATAACGCAGCGTCTTTAAATCCTAACAAGAATACCTCTGAAACCACGTTATTTCTGCTTTGCGATTAGGGGTGGGAATTACTGCTTATTGTTCATTTGTGGGAGGTGAGAGTGGAATGGACCAGTTATTAGTCAGGACAGGTTAGCCATTGTTATATTATTCTCATTACTTTCAGGTTCTCAGCCTTCCTAGCCTTAAAAATGTTATGCTCTCTATCACTATACTTGTACTTTCGTCTTCCAAAAGTAATTAGATTTTGATTAGGCCCCTCTGGAATGTTATTAGACTGGCATGACAGATGAAAGTGTTTTAGTACCCTAATTTGCACTTCTAATATTGGATAAAAAGTTTGCCCATTTCCCCCATCCCAAAATGAGCTTAATCTGTCATCCTTATTACATTACACAGTAGTGGAAATAAGTGTTATTAATTAAATATTAATTTAATTAATTAATTAAATATTAATTAAAAATCCTTGGAAAATAAGTTATGATGCTGCGAATGTGTGACCTGAACAAATGTCTTTATGTAGAAAGTGACCCGAGTCACTACAATAAAGAAAAAGAGAAATTACATAGGTTCTAGTTTTTCCATGATCTCTCTCTTAAACACTTGCATCTTCACACTTCTTGCTGGCTATTTTAAGGAGTATTCTGTCAGTTGATTTTTAGAGATTTCATGGTGATTACACTAGGCCTAGTCTAATTCTTCTTGCTTCATATAAACCCAAAATGAAAATGCAGTCAAGTCAGGAGTCATCTTAAGTCCTGAGAATAGGAGCCATATTACCACTAGAATGCCTGCATAGAGCATAGCAGTGTGATTGGAGCTTCAGCATTCCCTTTCCACTCTTACCTCTCTTCAGTGATACCTCTTGTGGTTATCTCCTAGGTTCCTGGGACTCACAGGGAAATCTCTTTACCACCATATGACTGCTCTTTTTCTCATGTGACTGCTCTTTGAACTAGCACCTGCATTCAGAGCTCCAGGAACTCAGAAGCCCAATAGTTTCAGCCCTGCTTTGTTCCTATGGATTTAACCTGTTTCTCACTTCTAAAAGCAGCCTTGCTTCCACTGTTATTATATTTGGTGCCAGGAGGATAGTATGGAACGGGGCTACCATATCTTCTAATTTCAATCTAATTCAACACAATATAGAATTTTTTTTTTTAATCTGCTTGGTTGGTGAGCCTAATGTTTCAGTGGTTAGTATCCTAGATAGTGCTGGGTAGAAATTTCACTTTTAGATTCTGATAAGTTGTTTGGAAGCATGATCAAAGGCACAAATAGTACAGTGCATCTGCAGGTGAGCCTATAGCAGGTGTTTTCAGCCTGACTTTTTTGGCACCTTTTTAGGTGTTGACACTTAGTCAAATTCTTAATCTTCAAATCACAGCAGAGAACACAGCATTTCATTAAAGCTCTGGCTTCTTCTCCCCTAGCCTGTAATTTACTACCTGGTGAAATGGTGCTCTCTGCCCTACGAGGATAGTACCTGGGAGCTCAAAGAGGATGTTGATGAGGGCAAGATTCGAGAATTTAAACGCATCCAGTCAAGGCACCCAGAACTCAAAAGGGTGGTAAGTACATCTGCATTTAGAGTGTAAAGTCCATATAGGGAATGATTTAATTTTCCTCTATATAGAGTTTGGGCTTTCCTGATAGCTCAGTTGGTAAAGAAACCGCCTACAATTCAGGACACCCCAGTTTGATTCCTGGGTTGGGAAGATCCGCTGGAGAAGGGATAGACTATCCACTCCAGTGTTCTTGGACTTCCTTGGTGGCTCAGTGGGTTTTTTCTCTTTCTTTTTTTGTTATTAAAGTGTCATTGTGAAGTCATGAATTTGAATATATTTAGCATGTTTAATCCAAGCAATAATGTCTTTGAATTGATTTCACCTATTAGATCTACCTAGTAAGTTTACCTAATTTTGTTAGTGCCTCCACCCCATTTATTCAAATTTCTTACTTTTTAGAATCGTCCGCAGGCAAGTGCCTGGAAGAAGTTGGAGTTGTCACATGAGTATAAAAACAGAAACCAGTTACGGGAATATCAGTTGGAAGGGGTCAACTGGCTGCTCTTTAATTGGTATAACAGGTAAAGAAAAGAGTGGGACCACAAGATATACGCTTAGTCTGGGATTATTTTTATTTGTTTTCTGTAGAAACAGGTTCATTTTATGTACTTTTTATAAGATGATCTCTTTTGACATGCTTTTCTTTTTTTGTGATGAATTGGCAGGCAGAACTGCATCCTGGCTGATGAGATGGGATTGGGCAAAACCATTCAGTCCATTGCCTTCTTGCAGGAAGTATATAATGTGGGTATCCATGGCCCCTTCCTGGTCATTGCCCCACTGTCCACAATTACTAACTGGGAGCGGGAATTCAACACATGGACAGAGATGAACACTATTGTCTACCATGGCAGTCTGGCCAGCCGGCAGATGATACAACAATATGAAATGTACTGCAAAGATTCACGGGTGAGTTGTATCTAATGCAAATGTTATGGCTTAGAGAATAGGCCAAAGTACCTGGTATTTTAGAAGCTTTTATATGAGTCAAAGACTTTTATTGAGACTCTGTGATGTTACGTGGTGTTGTCTACTTTATGCAGGATACTTTTTCGACTTTGCTATTTTGATCCAGTGAACATTTTGATCCCTTGGAAATTCTGACTTTATTTATGAATATACACATTTTAAATAGAGTTTTGCCAGCATTGATTAGTTTTCATCAAGAAATAATTTTCCAGAATGAAATTCATTTAGCTACTTTTATTTCCTTGATCCATAAAATGATGAACATAAGACATTTCTTCCTTTTTTTTTTTTTAAGTCTGCTGAAGTTTTCATCAAGATTAGTTCTTTTTTCTATGTAAGTTTGGGAAGTTTCTTAACATTGAATTTTGAATTTTTTTCCTACCATTAGTTGCCCATTTTTATTTCTATGAAACCCAAGTTTATTCAAGTCATATTTTGTTGCTCTTAATTTTGTTAAGATAATTGGATTCTTTTGTCCATTTTTAGATAGTAACCAATATTACCACATACTACATTAGCTGTTTCACTTTTAGTTTTATCTTGTGTGTTTCAGCAGTGCTCAACATTTGTGGATTTTAGTGTTTACCAACAGAAGATGTAGGGCTGAAATACATGAGGTAGGCATATAGCAAAGTCAAGAATGTCCAGCTTCTTTCAGTAGGGTCTGTGATTTTCCCAAGAAGCTGAGTGTGTTGAGGAGGCAGTGATTCAGTGATTTGACACTGTTTATCAGGAATATGAACAGTGGCAGAGGTGGGTGGTGGTGCAATTTGTGTTTTCTATTAAGCCTGCCTAAATATAAAATGCAGAATATGTAGTCCAGAAGAGCTTCTCATTTAGGTACATTTTAGGCCTTTTCTGACTTTATTGCCTTCATGTTTAGGGGCGCCTCATCCCAGGTGCATACAAGTTTGATGCCTTGATCACCACTTTTGAGATGATTTTGTCAGACTGTCCTGAGCTTCGTGAGATTGAATGGCGGTGCGTCATCATTGATGAGGCCCATCGACTAAAGAACCGTAATTGCAAGCTGCTTGATAGTCTCAAGCACATGGACCTGGTGAGTTCCTCTCACTGACTTGTGGCCAAAAACACCTAGAATTAAGTAATCCTAATTCCATGTGAATTAATTTCATAGAGAAGAATCAGAATCTTGGTATTGGGTGGTGGGTATGGCCTATGGGAATGGTAGCCTGAAAGTCATGAAATTCATATAAATTTTAGAAGTAGAAGATGATTGTGGGTTAGTGGTTCTCAATTGGTTGAAGAGGTGGGATGTTAAATGAGTTACCTATTTCTGCATAACAAAATGTCCAAAAACCTAGTGACTTAAAACAACTGTGTTTATCATGACTCTCTAACTGAGCAACTTGGGCTGGGCTCAGTGATCTCATTCTTTCAGTGGTCTTGTCTGGAGTCAGTAATACAGCTGCAGCTGACAGCTGGTACTGGTTGTTGGCTGGGCCATCTTCCATGTGGTCTGTCGCCCCTCTGTGGCCAGACTTTGCTTCTGTACCTGGTAGAGTCAGAGTAGTGTTCCAAGAGGGTAAAGGTGGAAGGCAAGGCCTTTGAGGCTCTGAAACTCACATGGTACCTACTTCTGCTACATTCTCATTGTCAGAGCAAGTTATAAGTCACGACCATGTTCAAGTGGTGAATCTTGATAGGAGGAACTACCAAAAATCAATGGCCATATTTAATCCCGCACAGGTACATTTCTTAGAGGGAGACATATTAATAGATATCCATGGGGACTTGAGTGTGGAGAGGCATATTTAATTGGAAAAAACATGTTCTAAATATTTCTTTATTGCCTTATAATATTTAAGAAATTAATATGTTAAATAATATCAAGAATATTCTTGAGTATTTCATGTTTATCAAAAGAGGCAGCAAGTAAGAGTAATCTGGTCCATTTCCATAATTTTACAGTTAAAGAAATGGAAACTATACTTATATACTTGATGGAAAACTCCAGAAGTCTTTTTGAGTTTTATCATTCTTCTGTATTCTCCATTTCTAGGAGCACAAAGTGCTGCTCACAGGAACACCATTGCAAAATACTGTGGAGGAACTGTTTAGCTTGCTTCATTTCTTGGAACCATCACAGTTTCCATCAGAATCAGAATTCCTCAAAGACTTTGGGGATCTCAAAACAGAAGAACAGGTAGGAAGTTGTCTGTTGCGATACTAATGCAGAATAAAAAAATTTGTACTAGGCAGATATCTACTGTCATGGATATCCATGACAGTATCCATGACATATGGAAACATATGTTTCCATCTAATGTGAGAATGTTTGTCCTCATGTTACTATTTTTTCCTCTGTGTTGGTTACAGGTTCAAAAGCTACAGGCCATTCTCAAACCAATGATGCTGAGAAGACTCAAAGAAGATGTTGAAAAGAACCTGGCACCCAAACAGGAGACCATTATTGAAGTAGAGCTAACCAACATTCAGAAGAAGTACTACCGGGCTATTTTGGAGAAGAATTTCTCCTTTCTTTCCAAAGGGGCAGGTCATACTAACATGCCAAATCTACTCAACACAATGATGGAGTTGCGCAAATGCTGCAACCACCCCTATCTCATCAATGGTGAGAGAACTCCTGAAGCACCTGGATTTCTGTGTTACTTTGATTACTAAGTGGTTTCCTCAGAAACAATAGGTGCATTGGCTGATCCTTCCTAGTTTGGAAATAGAGGGGATTTCTCTTTAAAACCATTCTCAAGTAGAACGTCTTCCTCTTGTTCTTTCTGACCCTTTGACTCTGCATAGTCTCCAAAGTTAAAAAGGATTTGCTGTTAAGAATTCTGTTCTGTCTTCACTGATATTCTATGTTGCTGTTTCCATTTTGGATGGCAGTATGGTGGTAACAGTGGTTTTCATGTACTATTCTAGTCCTTGTCCACATATTTACATGTTTTACCCAATTCTTAAGCCTGACTAATGTGGAATATTTTGTATTAACAAAATTGAGGATATTTTAGGGTTTGGGGGTTGCTGAAATTCTGTTTTCAAGTAATATTGATATCAAGTCAGGTTATTTTCTTTTCTTTGCTTCCTTATCTCAGTTAAATAAACTGCAGCCTTTCTGTGTTTCTCTGGATCTCACCATCAGGTCTGATTTTTCTTTTGGCAGGTGCAGAAGAAAAAATCCTAACAGAGTTTCGAGAAGCTTGCCATATCATACCTCATGACTTCCACTTGCAGGCCATGGTTCGTTCAGCTGGCAAATTGGTTCTTATTGACAAGTTACTTCCAAAACTTAAAGCTGGTGGCCATAAGGTTCTGATCTTTTCCCAGATGGTACGCTGCCTAGATATCCTAGAGGATTATCTAATCCAGAGAAGGTGAGAAAAAAAAGTCATTCCTCGCCTGTTTACTTTGTACTTATAAAACTGCAAAAAGTGGGAGGCGTGAGTTTAACTAAAGTTGACCAGGACTGGGCTAAGAGAAGTATTCAAGACTGTCACTCTCAACTTTCTGATAAAATTTTTGGTGAACTAGCGATACAGGGATACTGGTATTGATCCCAGCCTGCTTTTTTGTTCTCTTTTTCTGCTCAGCTGATTAAACTTTTTTCCTGTGATTCTCATGCAGGTACTTATATGAGCGTATTGATGGGCGAGTTAGAGGCAACCTTCGGCAAGCTGCTATTGACCGATTTAGCAAGCCTGACTCGGACCGATTTGTCTTTCTGCTATGCACCCGGGCTGGTGGACTTGGCATTAATCTAACAGCTGCTGATACTTGCATCATCTTTGATTCAGACTGGAATCCCCAAAATGACCTGCAGGTAGAGGAAATCATTGTCTTAGGGACTAATCACCTAACCTGAGAGGTTTTGCAGCAGGATCAAGATCTCTTAGAAAGTCTTATCTTTTCTAGAGTCTGGAATTGTTTAATTAGTTAGGTCATCAGACTTTTTCTATACAGGGCAGATAGTTAATATTTTAGGCCGTGCAAATCAGTCTCTGTTGTAACTGTTCTCCTCTGCTCTTATACTACAAAAAACATCTATAAGCAAATATAAATGAATGGGTAGAACTGTGTTTCAGCAAAAACTTTATTTCTAGAAATTGGTGACCAGGATTTGCTGACACCTGGTCTGGATGATGGGGCAGTAATTTCATCTTGAAATTGACTTCTGATTTTGAGTTGATCTCATGGCTGTTTTATAAATATAAATCGGTATTTTGAATCCTTCTCCTCCCCATCCCCTCTAATGTTGTTAACTTTTCCCTTCCTTCCATTTGTTAAAACCAGGCTCAAGCACGTTGTCATCGAATTGGGCAGAGCAAAGCTGTGAAGGTGTACCGTCTCATCACTCGTAATTCTTACGAGAGGGAGATGTTTGATAAGGCTAGCCTCAAGTTGGGATTGGATAAAGCTGTGCTTCAGTCCATGAGTGGTCGGGATGGCAACATTACTGGAGTGAGTCTTGTTAATTTTTAGCTATATTTTTAGTAGGTCATGGTGATGAAGGGAGGCAAAAGCTACTTGGCTAAAGCTGCTTTTTGTATGGGAACCTGACCCCTTGTTTGGATTCTCAATGATTATTTTTTAAAATATAATAAAATATCATGACATGGTTAGATAATATTCTCTGATTTTTTTTTCACCTTTTTATTGGATTTTGTAGATCCAACAGTTCTCTAAGAAGGAGATTGAAGATCTCTTACGGAAAGGAGCTTATGCAGCCATAATGGAGGAAGATGATGAGGGCTCCAAGTTTTGTGAAGAGGACATTGACCAGATCTTGTTAAGACGAACCACTACCATCACCATTGAATCTGAAGGAAAGGGTTCTACCTTTGCCAAGGTATGTTCTGTAGGTGCTAGAGGCTTTTAGCACAGAGAGACAAAAATCTCTAGAATTTAATATTTTTTAAAAATATAGTTTTAAAATATACTGAAAATATATTATATTTATTATATTTACTCAAAAATGTGGTGTAGTCAACTTTACTATTTCTTTCTTCCTCATTAGGCAAGCTTTGTGGCTTCTGAAAATAGGACTGATATTTCTCTGGATGACCCAAACTTTTGGCAAAAGTGGGCCAAAAAGGCTGACCTGGACATGGATCTACTCAATAGCAAGGTGAGCTTCCTTTTCCTTCAAGGAGGAAATGTGGCAGGAAACACATTACTTTCTGGAGTCTTTACAACTACTCTGATCCTTCAGTGCTGACTTTGTCTTACAATGGTATATCAAAGGCCATTGTGAAAGCTTTCTACATAGAGGGCCACTAAAAAATACTTAGATAACTACCACTTAAGTTTGCTTCCTGAGTCCCTGTAGATTATCTTGCATGTCCAAAAAAGAATCTGTCTTTGAGTATCTATAAATTATTACATGCAAGGCTATTTCAGTCTGACTATCTTTAATTCCTTTCCCATGATTATATTGTGAAAAGAGTTACTTCTCCTTCTGTTCCCTGCATAGAATAACTTGGTGATTGACACACCTAGAGTACGAAAACAGACCCGCCACTTCAGCACTCTGAAAGATGATGACCTAGTGGAATTCTCTGATTTGGAAAGTGAAGACGATGAGCGACCACGCTCTCGCCGACATGACCGTCATCATACCTATGGGCGCACTGACTGTTTTCGGGTGGAAAAGCACCTCCTGGTATATGGGTAAGACCCCACCTTGCCTCAAAGGTAGTGCATCTCCATCCTGATAGACATCTCGTTCGCTTTTTAAATTGGAAGCTATGATCAAAGAGGGGATAATGGGGAAAAATTGATTCTGTTACCATGTTTTCCCAAGATCTTTTTGTCTTGTCTCCCACCATTTGGGAAGTGTGAATTTGAGGGACTGGGGTCCCTAGGAAAATATCCATATGATTGCTTTTTTTTTGTAGTTGGGGACGATGGCGAGATATTCTGTCTCATGGACGCTTCAAGCGACGGATGACTGAAAGAGATGTGGAAACAATTTGCCGGGCCATCCTCGTGTACTGTCTCTTACATTATCGTGGGGACGAAAATATCAAAGGCTTCATTTGGGACTTGATTAGCCCTGCTGAAAATGGCAAGACAAAAGAATTGCAGAATCACTCAGGTGATTATCACGTCTTTGCTTTTTGTCTTTCTGTAGGTTACCTAATCCTTTTCAGGTCCAAGGGTTTTTCTCAATCCAAGTCTTCGATGTTTCCCCTTCCCCAGGTCTGTCTATCCCTGTGCCTCGTGGACGCAAGGGGAAAAAAGTAAAGTCACAAAGCACTTTTGATATCCATAAGGCAGATTGGATCCGGAAATATAACCCTGATACCCTGTTTCAAGATGAAAGTTATAAGAAGCACTTGAAACATCAGTGTAACAAGTAAGGATGGAATTCAGCAGACGAAAGCATTTTCCACCTCAAGCTTTCTGCACTATTACTGAACCAGTTCTTCCTCTCTCCCTTCTAGGGTGCTGTTGCGGGTACGAATGCTATATTATCTGAGACAGGAGGTTATTGGAGACCAGGCAGAGAAGGTGTTAGGGGGTGCAATTGCCAGGTAAAGTTATGCTGTATTTTTCTTTATGCTGTGCCTTATACCAGAATAGATTAGTTTACTTATTTCACTCTTAACTATCTCTGGGATACCTGATAATTAAAATCTGTGTATCAGGTCTTCGGTCCTATGCAGTTGGCCTTTTGTATCCCTGGGTTTTGCATCCTTTTGATCCACAGTTGATCAAATCCATGGATATCAAGAGCCAGCTGTATTCACTGAATGATTCATCTTATATAAGGGGTTTGAACATCAGTGGATTTTGGTATCTGGGGTGGAACGAATCCCTTACGGATACCGGGGGACAACTGTTCTTGATACCAGTAGAAGAAAATAGGCAGATGTAGGACTATGTAAATTAATAGAGAAAAGAAGATACCTGTAACAATCTTTCCAAAGATTGTTTGCTTTTATTTCATGCATTGCTGTGCTGACTCTGCCTCTGATACCTTCAGTGAGATTGACATATGGTTCCCAGTAGTGGATCAGCTGGAGGTTCCAACAACATGGTGGGACAGTGAGGCTGATAAGTCCCTGCTCATTGGAGTCTTTAAGCATGGTAGGTGTCTGCTGTTAGTCTGTTCTTTTCCTGTTAGAGAGTTTTGTCTACAGATGGAATATTTTGCAAAGTACTCAAGACCAATAATTATGTTTGAATGGTAAACTAGTTCTCAGAAATAATAGAGCAGAGCTGTTAGTTCCTATAAATAGATGGTCAGGAAAGACCAGATGGATAGTTAAATCGCAAGGTAGGGTGTCTCCCATCTGTTCTGTGATTAATCAGTTACTACCAGTCTGTATGCAGTGGTGTCCAAGTTAAGATTTGCAATCAGGGGAGATGATGCATGTCTACTCTTGTTATTAATAAACATGTTTACTTTGCATAGCTTTCCTGTGGCTTGCTGAAAATGTTCTGCTTGTATAGCATCTTGTTTGTCTAAATATTCAGTGCTTATCTTATGTAGGTGTGAATAGCCCTGTTTGAGTGAAAGAAAAATTAAAAAATTTTTTTTAGCCAGTGGAAAAAACTGGTCTGAAGTAGAGTAAAAAAAGGGAGAAGACTCCCTTTTCAGTCTTGCCTAATCACAAATTCCACACATTAAAAGCAGTAAGTGCTAACTTCCAGTCTAGTGACTTAGTGAATTGGAAGATTATTTCTTTTTTTAATATACTTTTCTGTTTATTTCTATAAAATAAAAGTAATGGCACTTAATTCACCTTTTTGACAAGTTTAATTGGATGAGAAAAACTGTGAGCATTTGTAGTCTTAGATTTACTTGTGAGGTGCAGAGGCTTTAGAAGGGTCCAAACATCCTGAAGTACATTCATCATTCATCCACTATTCAGAGTGCCTGTTTGCAGATACAAATTTCTTATTCTTTATTTGAAAATGCATTACCTAGCTCTAAATTATTGGACTTTTAAAATTTCCTCACCTGTGTAGTAAGAATGATGATTAAAAAATTACCCGTTAAATGGCTATATAAATCTGTCACCATTCTCTGTACACACTGATTAAATTCCTATTTTCAGTAACTGGTGATAAAACTCTTTATGACTCTAAATTGGAGTGGAAATACTAAATATCTTAATATAACCCAACAGCTGTCCAAATTAACATTTTCAGAGTACTTTACACTATGAGCAAAGTAGCCCACTTTTTATTCCAGCAGCATATGAAGTAAGCATAAAAGCAAAGTGAGTCTCTGATTTTCTTTAAATTATGGCTGTTTTTCTTCAAGGCTATGAAAAATATAATACTATGAGGGCAGACCCAGCCTTATGCTTCTTGGAAAAGGCTGGCCGACCAGATGACAAAGCAATTGCAGCAGAACATCGCGTGTTGGATAATTTTTCTGACATAGTGGAAGGGTAAGTATTGATGTTTAGTTCTCTTAAAGCTGTATCTACATTACAAAGGATATTTGTTGCTTGTGCTAAGAACTCTAGCCTTGACTAAATCCATTGGGATTCCTAATGGTGGTTATACTCACACATGATAAATTTTTTTTTTTTTGAATAAAGCAGAAATTTAATTTTTCATGTGGTTCAAATGTGTCACATTAAAGGATTAATCAGGTATGAAAATACAGCATTCAGTTTGAATTGTAGCACAGACGATGAGATGTTGTGAGGTGTCAAGGGCCTTGCAGTTACATAGCACTGCCTTTCTTACCATAGAGACAGAATTCAATAGGCAAATAGTCCAGTTACTATCATTTAAAGCTTACGAAAGTTGTTAAGGCTTAGATATAGTCAATTACATCCTCCAACTCCATTGAAGGCACACACAAGTTACTACTGACCACTCACCTAAAATAAATTTCCTAGGAGGTATCCAGTCAGAGCCTTAAAGAACAGAAATCCACCTAGAGAACAGGTAACCCAGAAAGACTAGGCACAGGTCATTAGCCACAACCCAACAACTGGATTGAGTTTTAAACTAGCATAGAATCATGTCCATAACAGAAAACATGTGACTGATAGGCGTAGGCCCAAAGAATAAAGAAAACGTTATAAATGATCATAAAATTCAGATCAGCATCTTGGTCAAGCTGTCTACTTCTGTTGTCATCTTCTTCTCATCCTAGTGTAGTGTAGTTTCCTCAGTTTGAGCACTGTTTTAAGGTGAGTTTGAGGCCAGTAGACCTCTCTGTAGACCAGTCCAGCTTAGGAGCCTTTGGAAGTGGGAGTTAATCCAAGAGTCCACTTCCCTTCAATTTCACTGGGCATGAGCTAGTTAAGAGTACCTGATGGAAAGGTCCTTCTATCCAGGTTGGAAACAGTTCCTTAAATTATGTCTTATTCCAGTCTTGATTGCAGGTCATGTGTAAGGCATCTGATCTTCATCCAAAGAGAGATTACTAAGATAAGCTTCAGAAACAACCCTAGAGTGTCCTTTAATAATGCAATTAAATTTTACATTAATATACCCTAACAACAAAGAACTATCCAGGAAATGAGTCTTAGTAGATACAGACCTCCATTAACAAACTGGGATTTAACATTCATTGAAACATCTTTTTCTGTCTAAAATCACTGTCATTTTTACCAAATATAACCAAATTAAGACTTTTTTGTAATATAGGTCTGGTCACAATAAATTTGGCCTGATGATTTATATAAAACCATAATTGATGATAAACTTTTTTGCTTTGCTGATACTATAAAAGTCTCAGACTGAACTTTTATTTTTTTTTTATATATTTATTTATTTATTTGACTGTGCTGGGTCTTAGTTGCAGCACATGGCCTCTTTTAGTTTTGGCATGCAGGATCTAGTTCCCTAACTAGGGATCGAACCCAGGCCCCCAGCACTGGGAGGTCAGAGTCTTAGCCACTGGACCACCAAGGATGTCCCTCAGACATCCCTAAAATAAAACATTTTAGGGCTAGGAAAGTCATGCCAAAGATTCATCACAGATTTTGCCTAACAGATCTAAGTGAATTCCTCCCTGCTCAAGGAATTCTCCTTCCTTCAAGTTCCTTCAGATTTCTGTACCTGTTAGTGAGATAACCTTCCTAACTTATCTGATAAAGTTATTGGAAACTAAGAGTTTCCAATCTCCGGAGGGTTCAAATAGAGAGAAAACATAAATGTTTCAATTTGTTTATAAAATATAATGTTATCAAATTAGTCATAATTAGTTTGAGGGGAAGTTTTTCTTCCTGCTGGAAAACACAGATTCAAATAAGTAATTTTTCAGATAGAAACCATAAAAGTTATAAGCATATTCACCAGTTCTTTCAGTCCTTTTGTCAACCTTTGTGAAGTCATCAGGGTTTTCATTAGAATCTTTACCCAGTTCAGAAACTGGTATTTATTCAAAAGTCCTTTTTATAAATCCCAAATTCATCTGCATTCCCTGAGGAGGCTGATGGGTGCAAGGGGCCACTTGCTGGTACCAAAGCTCCAGTTCCTCGTGGAGTCCAGTCAAAGGAAGGAAGTCCACTCTGGGTCGTTTCGTTGGTCTCCATAACTGTCGACTAAAAAAGATGTACAACTTGAAAGTTGTGAGTTAAGTTTTATTTGGGGCAAAATGAGGACTACAGCCTGGGAGGCAGCATCTCAGATAGCTCTGAGAGACTGTTCCCCACACATGATAAATTCTTAACAAACAGTGCGACCAGCAGAAAGGTCTCCATAAATTGGCCTGAAACCATACATTGTCATACAGTGCAACTAAGGGGGAAAATTACTCCCAAATGGCTTATTTGATGTTCTCTTCAGTTTTCTGTGCAGTGCTTTCAGCTACAGTAGTGGAGAGGATAACTGCTTCTCTTGAAAGTTAGTAGCCGTGCAGCAGCCCCATGCCACCTATGTGATAGAGCCTCAGGAAACTTTAGCCTTGGTCTATCATCTTCCGTGGCAGCTGACACATAAAGGTGTCTACTTTGCCTGAGTGCATGCCTCAGTGATGAGTTGCCATGCTAATACTGAGCCACCAGCTAGGGCAGTGTTTCCCTGGTTTGGGTGCCAGTGAGTTTAACAAAACTTCTCATGTGGAAACCTGAGGGGCATGTGAAATATTTGGCTTAGTTCATGAATACCCTTCCAGTTCTTTATGATTAAAAGGTTTTTCTTTGATGATCACAACCTCAATTTGCCTAGTGTAGGACCCACAGAGGAAATTAGATTTATTTATTGCAAATCATGTAATATCCTTTTGTTCAGTAGAGCAAAGTAGTAAAAATAAGAAGGCATAGATCATTCATTCCAATGAAATAATAAAAGTAGATACTAGTTGGAACGGAGGAGGAAAATTGGTTAAATAATAAAAAGCTATTAAGAAAAAGGAAATGTGCTGGTCAGAGTGTTTCATTTTAAATTCAAGCAGTTTAGAACTCAATTTTGTTGTTTTCTCATACCTCTGGATAATTTTAGGGTTGACTTTGATAAAGACTGTGAAGATCCTGAATACAAACCACTCCAGGGTCCCCCAAAGGACCAAGATGATGAGGTGAGGAATTCTCATTTGAGTCTAGCTTTTCTGTATTACTAAATAGTATTTTCCAATTCCCTGAATCATGAAGTATACTGATTAATTTATAATACAAAATGAAAAGTACCATTCAAGAATACAAAGTATTAATGGAAAGGATTGTAACACCAGCTAGGGGAGGTCAGGGATGCTTTTGTGGAGGAGGTGGGACCTAAGCTGGACAATGAAGTATATTATTGGACTACTTAATTCCTGAGTCTCATTGTCTTCAAGACATTGATAAGAACTGATTTTTCAGGTTATATTTTCTTACTGTTTTAATTGATTGCTTTCAGCTTTCTGTGAGGGTTCCTTTCATTAAAAAATATCTTGATACCTTGATGCCATAAAAGGACACACACACGTGATTTCAGAGTGCCAATTTTACCCCCTTTTCCTCCTCTCTCCATCCTGCGGGGTGGATCTCCTCTAGGGTGATCCCTTGATGATGATGGATGAAGAGATCTCAGTGATAGATGGAGATGAAGGTAAACTTCTAAGTCAACTTGTACGGGTTGATGGAATTGGGAAATTGACCGAAGTCTCTCCTTTACTGGAATTTCTGAGAGCTTTGCCTTTGGGTGGGTTGAAATACCAGTGTTATCTCTTCTATCTTTCCTGTACTTGCTGTTTATTCTACTTTGCTTCCCACAGCCCAGGTGACCCAACAGCCAGGCCATCTATTCTGGCCTCCAGGCTCTGCTTTGACAGCTAGGCTTCGGCGCCTAGTAACAGCCTATCAGCGCAGCTACAAGAGAGAACAGATGAAGATAGAGGCTGCAGAACGTGGGGATCGGAGAAGGCGACGTTGTGAGGCAGCCTTCAAGCTAAAAGAAATTGCACGGCGGGAGAAACAGCAACGGTAAAATGTGACTGGGAGTTTGGACTAAGCTGTAAACCTCTCTTCAACTATGGGCCCTATATTGAACATCTTAGGAAGGATTATGGCATCCCTGGTGGCTCAGACGGTAAAGAATCTTCTTACAGTGCAGGAGACCTGGGTTTGATCCCTGGGTCGGGAAGATCCCCTGGAGAAGGGAATGGCTACCCACTCTAGTATTCTTGTCTGGAGAATTCCATCGACTGAGGAGCATGGAGGGCTACAGTCTGTGGGGTCGCAAAGAGTTGGACATGACTGAGCAACTAACACTTTCACTTTTCAGAGAGGGACCACCTTTTTGGCCTTTGTTATACCCCTGCAACCCATACTTAACCCCTGTAAAACCATACTTAACCATAAGTCCTGGGAAGGTCTTGTACATAGTCATCCTCACTGAGTTTTTTGCATCATTTTCCTCCTTTAGCTTGCTAATTCTTAAATTATCCCTTGTTATAGACTACCTCTTCTGCTCTTTGGGAGCTGCCCAACCCCCACCCCCACCCCCAGCCAACTTTCATTTGTGTTGTGTTCAGATATTCTAAGCTATACTAAGAAGTAACCACTCCTTGTGTTCTGATCACTATTGCCTTATTCGTCTTCCCTTTGTAGATGGACAAGGCGTGAGCAAACTGATTTCTATCGAGTGGTTTCTACCTTTGGTGTGGAGTATGACCCTGATACCATGCAGTTCCATTGGGATCGCTTCCGTACTTTTGCCCGATTGGACAAAAAAACAGATGAAAGCCTTACCAAGTATTTCCATGGCTTTGTGGCCATGTGCCGCCAAGTGTGCCGCCTTCCCCCAGCAGCTGGAGATGGTAAGCAAGACTGAAGAGTCTTGCGTGAGTGGGCATGGATTGTGACAGAACCAGTTCTTGGTTCATTTCTTCTTCTACCCTTATCTCTTGCAGAACCCCCGGACCCTAATCTGTTTATTGAGCCCATCACTGAGGAAAGGGCCTCACGGACTCTCTACCGTATTGAATTGCTTCGGCGCTTACGGGAACAAGTTTTATGCCACCCTCTTTTGGAAGATCGGCTGGCATTATGTCAGCCTCCAGGTCCTGAATTGCCTAAGTGGTGGGAGCCCATTCGGCATGACGGGGAGCTTCTACGAGGGGCAGCCCGCCACGGGGTGAGCCAAACAGACTGCAACATCATGCAGGACCCAGACTTTTCTTTCCTGGCTGCCCGTATGAATTATATGCAGAACCATCAGGCAGGAGCACCAGCTCCATCCCTGTCACGCTGCTCTACTCCACTGCTCCACCAGCAGTACACCTCGCGCACTGCCTCACCGCTGCCCCTGCGCCCAGATGCTCCTGTTGAAAAGCCACCTGAGGAGACAGCTGCCCAGGTCCCCAGTCTGGAGAGTCTGACTTTAAAGCTAGAGCATGAGGTGGTGGCCAGGAGCCGACCAACCCCACAAGACTATGAGATGCGAGTAGCCCCCTCTGATACTACCCCTCTGGTCTCCCGAAGTGTTCCACCAGTCAAACTGGAGGATGAGGATGATTCAGACTCTGAGCTGGACTTGAGCAAGCTGTCACCATCATCCTCTTCTTCCTCATCCTCATCCAGCTCCAGCTCCAGCACTGATGAGAGTGAGGACGAGAAGGAAGAGAAGCTAAGTGAGTGCATGTAACAGGCTTGTTGGCCGTCTTTCCCATTCCCCCCCCCCCCCCCCCCCCCCCCCCCCCCCCCCCCCCCCCCCCCCCCCNCCCCCCCCCACCGCGTCTCCCTTCTTTTCTAAATGCATTTTCTAAGATTCAGATTTTAATTTGATAGAATATCAGAAGAGATCTGTTACTCTTAGGGCCTTTATTTAAAGTCCATATAATACCATTCCTATGTAACTTTATTCTTCCACCTTTGCTCACATGTACTGTGTGCTCGATCCCTAGCTGCTGACCAGTCCCGCTCAAAGCTCTATGATGAAGAGAGTCTCCTGTCCCTCCCTATGTCCCAAGATGGATTCCCAAATGAAGATGGAGAACAAATGACCCCTGAGCTTCTGCTGCTACAAGAAAGACAGAGAGCTTCTGAGTGGCCCAAGGTAACAGCCTCATTACTGGACATGTTGAGTCTGAAAATATAGTGTGATACAGCCACTATGGAGAACAATATGGAGATTATTTTAAAAAACTAGGATTAAGACTATCATATGAACCAGCAATCCCACTACTGGGCATATACCCTCAGGAAACCATAACTGAAAAAAGACACTTGTTTCCCAGTGTTCATTGCAGCACTATTTACAATAGCTAGGACATGGAAGCAACCTAGATGTCCACCAACAGATGAATGGATAAAGAAGTTGTGCTACATATATACAATGGAATATTACTCATCCATAGAAAGTAACAGAGTTGAGTCATTTCTAATGAGGTGGATGAACCTAGAGCCTGTTGTACAAAGTGAAATAAATCAGAAAGAGAAAGACAAATACCGTATATTAACACATATATGAAATCTAGAAAGATGGAACTAATGAAATTATTTCCAGTGCAGCAATGGAGACACAGACATGAAGAACAGACTTTTGGTCACAGTCAGGAAGGGAGAGAGTGGGGTGACTTGAGAGACTAGTGTTGAAACACTAGTTAACATACATTACTATAAAATAGAGAGCCAGTGGGAATTTGCTGTATGATGCAGGAAACCCAAAGCCAGTGCTCTGTGACAACCTAGAGGGTAGAGTGGGGAGGGAGGTGGGAGGGCAATTTAAGACGGAGGGGACATAGACCTGTGGCTGATTCTTACCAATGTATGGCAGAAACTGTCACAATACTATAAAGTAATTATCCTCCAATGAAAAAATTCTAAAAAGAGTGACATACACAGAGAACAAGTAGATGGTTCTAGGTTTCTTTGATTATGTTTAGTGGTACATGTTTTTTCATGAAGCTCTTACCAGTTGACTTTGGGATCTGATACTCTTACCTCCGTCATTTTTGACATATAATTTTTACTTATCTTGTTAATGATGGCATTATTACTTGTCACAGGATCACATGACTAATTGATTTCTTTTTCCCCTACTCAGGATCGTGTCCTGATAAACCGTATTGACCTCGTCTGCCAGGCTGTACTCTCAGGGAAGTGGCCTTCTAGTCGCCGGAGCCAGGAAGTGGTAACAGGAGGAATTTTGGGGCCAGGCAACCACTTGCTGGACAGTCCCTCGTTGACTCCGGGAGAATATGGTGACTCTCCAGTCCCCACACCACGCAGTAGCAGCGCAGCTTCCATGGCAGAGGAGGAAGTGTCTGCAGTCACCACAGCCGCTGCTCAGTTCACCAGACTTCGCCGAGGCATGGATGAGAAAGAGTTTACGGTTCAGATCAAAGATGTAAGCTGAGTATTTAGGCACTGGGAAGTGAGGAAGGAGGCTGTAATTCTTGTTAACTAGTTTTATGACCATAACATTAATATTAAGCTCATTTGGTCAGCTAACCTTAAAAATGAGAAGGGAAAAAAAAATTAGAGCTCACAAGGATCTGCTGAGGAAAAGTCACTAAAGTAAAGGAAGGGATCTTATGTTGACTTGTATCTCCTGTGTGTGCTTAGTCACTCAGTCGTCTCCGACTCTGTGACCTAATAGACTGTAGCCCGCCAGGCTCCTCTGCCCTTAGGGATTCTCCAGGCAAGAATACTGGGGTGGGTTGCCATGCCCTCTTTCAGGGGATCTTCCCAACCCAGGGATAGAACCCAGGTCTCCCACACTGCAGGTGGATTCTTTACCATCTGAGCCACTAGGGAAGTCCCAAGAATACTGGAGTGGGTAGCCTATCCCTTCTCCAGGGGATCTTCCCAAGCCAGGAATCGAACCAGGGTCTCCTGCATTGCAGGTGGATTGTTTACCAGCTGAGCTACCAGGGAAGCCCTTGCATCTCCTAGTGGCTAGATTAAAAGGGTTCTTCTGAGTGGCTTGCTTGTAGATCCTAGAAACCTAGTTTTTAAAAATTGAAATCAAGTTGTGGAAAAGCTAGTAAAATGATACTAAAGTGTTATGGGCTTTATTAAGTTAAAAATAAATTATTCCTACTGAAATTAAGTCAGTATTGTTTGGGAAATGGATGGAAAATTTTATTTTTCCTTATGCTCTTCCCTAATGAACCCTAGCAGGTGGTCATTAAGTACTCAACAAGAAAAATGTCTTAGTTACATGACAGGAATATCAGAATTTTGCCCCTGTGATGAATTGCCATGCTAATTCTGAGACACCAGGTAGGGGATTTTTCCCTGCATTGGGTGTTACTGAGATAAATTCTACTTCTCTTAAATCAACCTGAGGGGCACTGAGTCAAGAAATGAACTCTTTCTAAGGAAAAATATATGTCTTATTGTATTTCTAGTTTGTACCTATTAGTCAGATGGCCTTCCTTCTCACCATCATTGAACCAGAGGATGACCCTTACTTAATTCCCTCTTAAGTTAATCTTTATTTTAAAAACATGCTATGTGATGTCTTGGGTGGGCGGGTGTCTTTCTAGGAGGAAGGATTGAAGTTAACATTCCAAAAGCACAAGTTGATGGCTAATGGAGTAATGGGAGATGGACATCCTCTTTTTCATAAGAAGAAAGGGAACAGAAAGAAGCTAGTTGAGGTAAGTGGTAGAGAAAGTCTTTAACATGATGATTAGATAAAGGCAGTTGGGATTGAGGGAGTAGAAGATACTATTTTATGGCTACCATTGGCTCTGACCCCTCCCTCCCTACTCATAAGAAGAGTATGTGCTCATGGGGGTGGATTCTGGGTTTGCAGCTGGAGGTGGAGTGCATGGAAGAGCCTAATCACCTTGATGTGGACCTGGAGACCCGGATCCCTGTCATCAATAAGGTGGATGGTACTTTGCTCGTGGGTGAGGATGCCCCTCGCCGGGCTGAACTGGAGATGTGGTTACAGGGTCATCCAGAGTTTGCTGTCGATCCCCGATTTCTAGCGGTGAGTGGCAGTTCCATCCAGCAAAATTTAAAGTCATTCCCTTGATAGTTAAGCTGTGTGAGAAGGAAGAAGCATGCCATATTATGTCATTGTTTCTGCATCGGCAAAATAAGAGTAATTATACTCAGTCTTCCTATTTCACAGAGTTGTTGTGAGGATCAAAATAATGTTCTCGTACTTGTTAAACTAAATGCTAGGCACTGAACTAGTATATAATCACCTAATTTTTTTGGAGAAGTCTGCTTAATGGCAGTTTTCCACTAGGATTAATCCTTTATTCACACAATAAGCATTTATGGTCAGAATAGACACTAGTATCTTAATAATTACTCCAGAGAAGTTTTATTCTTTTAGGATAACTGCAACTTTTCTCTTGTAGTATATGGAGGATCGCAGAAAACAGAAATGGCAGAGATATAAAAAAAATAATAAGGCAGAATTGAACTGTTTGGGAATAGAACCAGTACAGACAGCTAACTCTAGGAATGGAAAAAAGGTGAGTGAAACTAAGATATTACCACTCTGTTCTCATACTAGATATGACTAGAGAAATCATTTAATGTTTATCTTTTTTTCCCGTGTTTGAGAAAATTTATCCTCAGTTCGCAAAGAAATCATAATATTTTTATTGATATTTTTATAGTCCTGTAGTATCCTCATCTCTAGAAGAGCATGAAGTTCTAAAAGCTAACTTTAGCACTTCAAGCATATTAAAATGTAAGAATTAGTAAGACATGTTAGAAAATTCAGTGCTTTATCCTGTTCTTCTACTGACTAAGGGATTTTTGGCAAATCCTTTTAACTTTTTCAATTTGTACATCCTGAAAAACTGAAGGTTTGGGAGCAGATAATCTCTTAAAAGTTTTATATTTTAGAAGTGATTTGGGAAATTCTCTCGCAGTCCAGTGGTTAGGACTCTCTGCACTTTCACTGCTGAGGGCCTGGGGTTCAGTACATGATGGGGGAAGCTGCAGAGCTGCACAGCACAGCCCCCCTCAGGAAGTGATTTGGAACCTATTAAAACAGCCATGTCTCAATAGGCTTTTCAACATAGACGATGTTGAGAATCATTAATAATATGCCAGTAATGGAAAAAGACAGGAAATCATGTTCTATAGTTGATAACAACAATTTTGGTCATTATGTTATTCCATGATTTTCAAGTGTGCTTATACTTTTATGTGGTTATAGATTTGGTGGATTAAGAACCCATAATCCTTTCCATCAAAAATATAATTGCAAAAGTTTCTCTTGGCTATGTTTGCCTTACTTTGGACAATAGTTGTGTAAATATAAACCTATAAATCAGGGTTTGGTAAACACTTAAATGGATTAATACTTTGTATACTCACTTTATCTAATCATTCCCTTTTTGATCTTCTATATACGTCTTTATATGTATGTGGTATAGATATATATATACACACACACATATATATATAGTGGTTTATCTTTTAACAAAATTCCCAAATGAAAAATATCTAACGTTTGCATTTAACAAATTCTGAGAACATTGTTTTGCCCATAATATGTATTTATTTGTGAGGTGAATTTATAAGGCTTATTGTTTTTATACTGGGTGAAAGATTGTTGCCATGGAAGAATGTTTTATTTTTCTCTCTTATCCTCCATGGGCCCAAGGGTATAAGGTGAGTGGTTGATATGGGAGGCTGATGGCAAGAAGGCTGATACCGTCTCTGTGTTGAATTTAACATTATAGAGCAGCCTGTAAAGAAGGCTTTTTCTCCACCATTACCTGTTTTTACCTCAAGTACTTTTGCTCTTCTTTATAATCAGTTGTTAACTCTAAGAAAGAAAAAGATCATAGCAAATCACAGAAAATTATGTGATTAGTACAGTATTCTTACTGAAAAATTGATATGTATCCAGCACTGTATTATTATTGCATCCTAATATGATTTGGTGCTGTTATGTGAAAGTGTGTTAGTTGCTCAGTCATGTCCGACTCTCTTTGACCCCATGAACTAGCCTGCCAGGCTCCTCTGTCCACAGGATTTTTCCAGGCAAAAATACTGGAGTGGGTTGCCATTCCCTTCTCTGGGGGTTCTTCCTGACCTAGAGGATCAAACCTGGGTCTCCTGCATTGCAGGCAGATTATTTACCATCTGAGCTACCAGGGAAGCCCTGGTAGTTATAGTTACATTTTAAAAGCATAAAAAATTAAGTATTGAGATGTTTGTAACTGTCTGAGTTTAATGCCAGTTTACTCAGTATTGTACTTAGGTCTAGTAATGTTCCAGCTTCTGGTTAAGTGAACTTAACCAGAATTTATAGTGAGCCCATTTACATGAAGCAATTCAAAATTCAGCAGATATGTAAGTTTATTATAGTGCAGAAAAAAGTATTTTAGTAAATTTGCTAAGGAGCTACCCCGTAGTCTTTTTGGTGTTCTAGACATCCAGACTCTCAATCTGGTCTGTCTTGAGTTTACCCCATTCTGATGCAATAATGAAGGATAATATTGTATATGTCAGTATGGTGTGCTGTCCTTCACATGGTAAGCTCATGTGAACAAACTGCCATCAGGAGAGCATACTGTACAAGTACTGATTCATTCATTGTCTTACTCAGGCTTCTTATTAACAAAAGTAAGCAATTTTGAAATGGTTGGCCAGAGTAAAGGTATCGTGTTCAGTTCAGTTGCTCAGTCATGTCTGACTCTTTGAAACCCCATGAATTGCAGCACACCAGGCCTCCCTGTCCATCATCAACTCCCGGAGTTTACACAAACTCATGTCCGTCAAGTTGGCGATGCCATCCAGCCATCTCATCCTCTGTTGTCCCCTTCTCCTCCTGCGTGGGAAAAAAATCAAAGCTCTGGTTCAGATGAGTGTCGGTGTCAAATGTTTGCATTTAGCTTCAGCATCATAATGTTTCAACCTGCTACATCCAGCTTTACCTCGTCCCCATTACCATCAAGTCTCGTTGGACTATACTTACTTTGCCCCTCCTAAAGACAGTTCAGTGAAAAAGCATTTGCAAGCTAGGACTCTGTTGACTTCTCTTTTGTTTTTTCTTCCTTTGACTATCTTCTGTTCCTTCTTCCCAGGGTCATCATGCTGAAACTGTGTTGAACCGGGTTTTGCCAGGGCCTATTGCACCTGACACCAGCAAGAAGCGGGCCCGAAGGACGCGACCAGACCTTTCTAAGATGATGGCCCTGATGCAGGGTGGAGGCACTGGGTCCCTGTCTCTGCATAATACCTTCCAACACAGCAGTAGTGGCCTGCAGTCTGTGTCATCTCTGGGTCACAGCAGTGCCACTTCTGCATCTTTGCCTTTTATGCCATTTGTGATGGGTGGTGCAGCATCATCCCCTCATGTAGACTCCAGCACCATGCTTCATCACCACCACCACAACCCCCACCCCCACCATCACCACCATCACCATCCAGGCCTGAGAGCCACTGGCTACCCTTCTTCACCAGCCACTACCACCTCTGGTACTGCCTTGCGGTTGCCACCACTGCAACCTGAGGAGGATGAGGACGATGAGGATGAAGATGATGATGATGATTTATCTCAGGGCTATGATAGCTCAGAAAGGGACTTCTCACTCATTGATGATCCTATGATGCCAGCCAACTCAGACTCCAGCGAAGATGCTGATGACTGAAGACCCAGCATGGTCCCCATTGCTTGGGTGGCTGCTGTATTTCCTTTACTCTGGCCCTTGGACTATGGAAAAGTGGGAGGGGCAGGGGAGATGTGGGGAGACAGACCCAGGACTCCAGGAGGTGAAAAGGAAAAAGAACACTTGTACCTGATTGCTTCCAAATTTGAGAGGATTGGGTGGGTAGGGGAACTCCTAAAATAATACATTACTTCCTCGGTTCTGGGGAAGGAAAGGAGACTAGAGCAGCCAATGTGCTCACCCCTCCCTAGACACCTCCATTAACCACAGACTATGTAGCGCTGGCACTAGCCTCTGGCAGAGCCTGTTCCTGACCGAACTGTGGATACAGCTGGAGGGTCAGGAACTGTTACCTTCCTTCCCCTTGGCATTAATAAATTTAAGTTAATCCTTTCCCACTCTTCCCTCGTTCTATATTTGCTCAAACCCAATATAAATATTACCAGTTGATGCTCATGATGGGTAATTTCAACACCACTTTCTTAAAATTGTGAAGTTACTTAATGTGTGAAGTTACCTTGGATAGGGCAGACAAGTCATCCGTACTCCGTGAAAAGCTTGTACATAAGCATAGGCTTTCCACCTTGCCAAATGATCTAAGCTAAAATAGTAAGCAAAATGTTCCCAGATTCAAAATCCCAAGTTCTCGAAGAGATGAGAAAGAAGAATTTCCATCAAGACCCACGTACATTTTGTTTTGAATTAACTGAAATTGTTTCGGGGAAGCCGTAAAAATGGTGTCACTTCATGAACTGTGGCAAGGAGACTGGCTGACTGGAAGGATGCTGTCACGACTCGGGCTCGCATTTGTTTCCTATGACCCCTCCCCTACCGTCCTAGCGCTCAAATGAAGCCTGGGCATTTAATTTCCCTTTCAAAGGCGAAGTCCTTCCCCCGCTGCGCCAGCCTAAATTAAGCTTATCCGCAGGGTGGGCTCCCTCTTACCGGCTTGAGCTCCCTGTCTGCCTGGAGCCCCTAACCCAGCGTCCTAGCACGGAAGATCCGTCCAGGCCTGGAGAGGCAGGAAGCTTTTGCTTCCCCACATTTTCTAGGAGAGTGAGAAACCCAGTTATGCTGTAGGCTTCCCACTCCCACCCCAAATCCCGCTCTCCGTTTCCCCTTCCTTTGCCTATGGGTGGGGCCACTGCACTCGCGCGCGGCAGTTTGTGTGGGGCGGGGCCGGCACGTTAGGGCTCCCGCCCCCTCAGTGCCCAGCCCCAGCCGCCGCCGCCGCCTCCTCGACACGCAATCGGAGCTCCAGGAGACCTCGGCCCCGGGGAGATTAAGAGCGGGAGCAGAGCATCACGTGATGACGTCGACTCGCGTGCGGCTGTTGCTAAGTTGACAAGAAAACCCCGCGAAAATCTGGACTCTTCTTGCGTTACACGTTTTGTTGCTTCCCCCACTCTTCCTTCCTCACCTCCCCCTAACCTCCGGAGGAAGGATTTTTTTAAAAAAAAGAATCCCGATCGCTGCCGGGACCCGGAAGCGGAAAGGGCATCTTTGAGGTCGATACTTCCGGGTCACTGGGAGAGTGCGGGATTCCGGGGCCGAGTGAGGGTGGCGGAGCCGGGACCTCGCGTGATTCTCGGAACCCGAGGAGAAGCGGCGTCTGTGGCTATGGCTGTAACTCTCGACAAAGACGCTTATTATCGACGAGTGAAGAGACTGTACAGCAATTGGAGGGTGAGATAGATCCCGTAATTTCCCCAGGGAGCCCCCCTTTGCCATCCCATAATAACCCCGTTTCTCGGCGCCTTTTTCCCCCTTTTCGTCAGGAATTCCTGGGTTCAGGGTCGTGCCCATTTAGTTGCTCCAGGATTATTCACCGCAGGCGACCGCAAGCGCCGTCCAGTAGCAGGGAATCCCCCCCGTAATCTCCTTACCCTGCGGCCACCACCATCTTCCCCGCGTGCCTGCCCCCGTCATGCATAACAGCTACCTCTCGTAGTTTCTTCCCGCCCTAGAAGAGGCATCATCATTCTTCCCTCCCACTCCGTGATCACGTCTTGCTGCCCCCTCCTGCAGTGTTCACACACACCCACGCACTCGCTCTGTCCTTCCAGAACCAGAGTGTTGTGCCCCAGGTCCCGCCAGTATTACAACCATTTCGTCAAGGATGGATGGAGGGGCCAGAAGGATGAGAATCGGGCTTTTGGCGTTTACCATTTGCGGGGCTCTTGCTGGAGTTAAAAAAAGACATACTGCTCACGCGCAACCGCCTCCTGTTCTAGGCCCTGCCGTGGGTAACAGAAATCTAACGCTGAAAACCTGCAGGTTTTGGTCATGCAGAAAAACGATGTGATGCCTAAAACCTTATTAGTTTTCTCCGTGGTTGAGGATCCAGGGCACGTGTTTAGAAAGAGAGTTGTTACAGTTTCTAGTCTAAGGATTGGGCATTTTTGATTGCTTGAAAAAGTCCACAATTAAAATTTTATTTTTGTGATGGTAATTTATCGGTTCAAACATTTGATTGCATCCTGTGGTGTCTTCTGAGCTATCCAGCTGAAGTATGTATGATCTCTGAACTGTTGTCATTCAGGGAAGATAAAGCTAAAGAGGGCGTTTTAAAACCTGAAGAGCGTCCTGACAGAAATGATCAGTTCTGACCTCAGCGTTGTAAATTGCCTTTGAAACTGATCTACTGGAAACTAAGCTATTAAAATTGATCATTTTCCTACCATTCATACTAAAGATTCCTGTGCAAGTTTTATCTTTTGGGCATAAATGCATTAGATGATTAAAGATAAAATGGGTTTTATGCATTTTATAAGCAAACCTAAGGACTATTCTACACAAAAGCTGAACATAAATTTACTTTAAAAAATTGTATTGGTTAATTTCTACCAGATGTTTTTATAAGTTCTCTCACTGTCATGTTTTAAAGTTTGAACATGATCCATACTAGAAATACTTTTCTAAATGCCCAGATATTTCCTGACGATTAATAAGTTCTGTGACATGAGTAATAATCAATTACCTGCTCTTCCACTCATTGACCCCCCAAGTCACACACCTTTGCTGTAGTGATTGTTTCTAGGCCCAGTGATTCAGAAGTTGATCACATAACCCTATCTAGACCATTCCTTGAAGCTAAAATTAATTTAGAGCTCAAAGTTCCCATACATATGGTAGATAAATGCAAAGCATGAGACTAGGGAAATACTTGAGACCCATTGGTAAACTCAATGTCGACGACAGCCTTTAAATCCATGAAAGTTAAGTTATTGGCCCCATTTTTTTTGTTTGTTTCTCAAATACTAAAATTTATCTTGGCCCTTTTATCATTTGAAAGGGGCATGTTAAATGATAAGATACTGATGTTACAAAGTTACAAGCCAATATAAAAATGTACTTAGCAAAATTTGTGTCATGTCATTATGAAAAATCTTATTTGAATAGACTTCCCGCCTTTTTATAACTGTAAGTTTTAATAACTGTGCTTAGACCCCACCTGTCAAATTGCTTTTTGCATTGTGTTTTCCAGGTTACAGCACTTTCATTCGACCTGCTTAACCAGCTATCGTAGTTTCCGGAATAAGTTCTGGTTGCTTATCCTCTTAGGTGCAGCAGGAAAATAGTGAAATATACAGGTGCAAACTATATTTGCTTTTCTACACTTATTCCTTTTTTGAGTTAAGAAAATTGGCCTTGAAATAAGAATAACTTCTAGTTAACTATAGAAACCCCAAACCTTGTGTTGTCAACTCCCATCTTCAAAGAAGACAAAAATTAACTAAAAAACTAGTTTAGGCTCCACACCCACTTGTAAGTTTTAAATACCCTTAGAACATTGGCCTTAAGGTACATTTTGTGAGGCTACTGTAAGTAAGATATATCTCTTAATTACAATTTTCATAACTATGTCCCTGAAAGAGTTGGATTATCACACCCTTCCTTTTTTGAGTAGAAATTTCTCAAACATTAAACCTTATACCTGAGTGAATAGTGTCATTTTAGGGATAAGATAATGGGTTCAGTCAGAAATGAAACAGGAGATCTCCTGTCATGACTGAAATGTATTTTTTACGGACGTTTGAGGTTAGTAGTGCTGCCTCTCTCTCTCTTTTTTTTTAAATGAACTGCTACAGCAGGAAGAGCTTGCAGCACCTTTCTGTCTCTGCATTAGAGACCCCTAGGTGGTGACAGTGGGTCGTGAGCATGAGCTTCTCCCCTGTGTTATGCTTACCGGGTCCTTACTCAGAGCTTCCCAGTCTTTTCTTGACTGTGATTGTTTTTAACCATGTGATAGGATTAGTATTTCATGAGGGTACAAGTGGGGAGGTTACCCACCATCCTGGGATCCCAGCTGCTTTGAGAACTGAGGGGAGATTGTATCCAAGCACACCTATAACTCATTTGAGACCTAACTGTTGGGACATGCTGCTCTGTGTGAACCTTGACTTCAGTCATCTGCCTTTTAACCCAAAAGAATTCCATAAAAAAATCAGAATGGTAGCTGTTTTCCAGTGGAATGCTGATCCATTGCATTCATTCACTGCTGATTCATTGCACTACCTGTCAGGACTGGGGAGGTGAGTGGCCCCAGCCTTGAAAAGGCAATTTCTGCCTATGGAGAAAACGAATAACCTATAGTGTTAGTGTGTCTCTTGAGTGGTGATTTCTGGCTCTCTGCTGATTTTTGTTGTGGACAAGTTTCTTGTTCTGGATTGCTCTCTCAGACTAGGCAGTGACTTTTGTGGCTTAGGAAGGTTCTTTGAAATAAGGCAATTTTCATACTACTATCAACAAGATGACAGTTTGCTTCTACCCATCTCGGATGCTTATAGCTCACTCATCTCTGGAGTGAACCAGAGAAAGGTTTAAATAGTGCTTTGGTTTCTTGAGTAAAGAGGAAGGCTAGATAAAAGTAAATGCCTGGGCAGGTTGAGATTCGTTTATTCTTTCTTACTCATTTTTATTTATTTTCTTGCCACTATTAACAAGTGCAGTACTTGGCATGTAGTAGGCACTCATTAAATGCTGATCATTTGACTTTTGAGCTTTCTTGCATCCCCATCTTGGTTTGAAGATTTTTATGGAGGCTGTACTTAGTGTGATCATAAGTCTTGCCTTTTCTGAAACTGTCTTACCTGTTGTCCCTGTGTAATTAATGGTATACCTTTTTATTCAGAATTGTGTCACTTTGGGTGATGAGTTAGATTGGTATCTTGGTATAACTAGAGACTTAAAAAATGTTTCCTCTTTTAATGCAGTACCCTTTTGGTTTCAGAGGAAGATAGTTGTTCCTCTGCTGCAGTATTTTCCCAACTTTTATCATTCGGATACCACTGTCACAGTTTTTGCTGATTCCTTACCACTTGTATTACTGATATTTACCTTGCATTTTTTTTTAAATCCATTTTAGTCATGTAATACGTACATACATTTTAAAAAACCAAATAGTTCTAAAAAGCCTTAGCATAAGAAACCTGCCATAAAAGCACCCACTTTCCAGTTCTTCACTTCTTTTCATATTTTAAAGGAATATCTATATACTGCTATCAATATTTCTTGGTTTATCAGTTTTAGATATTAACTCTTTGTTTTTGTAGAATTAGGATTTAAATTTAACTTACACCATAACATTTCAATTTCCCTTCCTCCTGATACTTCCTGTAAGTTTCTTCTTGACATAGTTATGAAATATTTCAACCTACAGAAAGGTAAAAGAAATTTCCAGTGAGAACTCATGTGCCTCCCCCCACCTAGTTTATATAGTTAATATTTTTATCATACTTACTTTCTCACATATCTATCCCTCCTGATTTTTTTTTATCACAGTTTTTAGTATAATCAGTTTACATTGTTACACTCATGTAACTATTTTCACTGCTGGGTGAGGTAATAGAGTATAATTAAGTTCCTGCTAAGTTTTTTCATTTTTCCTGGCATTAATGATTACTTCAGTTTTTTTCCTCTTTTAAATGTCCTTAGCCTTAATTTTTTCCTGTAGATCTGTCATAATCTCATCAGTCTTTTATTCTAAAATTTTCATGCTCAACAGATATTTTATTCTCTTGTTGTTTTTTAACCACTACCACCCGCTCAACCTTACTTTATTCTGCTCTGTCTGTGCAGGTTGCTCTCCAGTCTGTTGAACCTTGGAACTACCAGTGTCCCCTATATCCAGCAGTCCATGTTGTGATTTTTTTTTTCTCCTTTGTTTTGTTAGAGCATTTCTCTAAGATTCTTAGGAAAGGATACAGAGAATAGATGTTTCTTGAGCCATTATGTGTCTTAAAAAGTTTTATTCTGTCTCTACTTCTGGTTAATAATAATAGTTCAATTAGTATAAAATTCAAGGTTGAAAATCTCTGAGAATTCTGCTCAGAATCTGTCAACTATTTGTCAGCCTTCAAGCATTCAGTATTTCTTTTGAGAAGGGTGATGTGATTCTACTTCCTGTTCCAACATATATGGCCTATTGTTCCCTGTAAAACATCTCTTTATTCCTCATGTTTAGATATTTCACTGCCTTGGTATGAGTCTTTTTTTTTTTTTAACCCATTGCATTGAGTTGGGAAGTGGGGGGCCATTTTAGTCTGAAGACTCACATCTGTCGGTGCTGGAATTCTGCATTCTTTGATCATTTTCTCCCCTCCATTTCCTCAGTGATCTGTTCCTCTGCTGCCCCCCAGAAATTTTTATTTAGTGGGATTTAGAACTTTTGGCTTAAGTTTGTT